TAATAGTTTTAGTTGAGAAGGTGCGGGGGGGGATACAAAGATGGAGGATGCTGGTAAACTGCAACAACCACAACTCCCGACGACCACGACCACGGCACCGGATCAGGGGACGGGAAGTGGGGAGTGGGTTGTTGTTCCTCCTGGGGGAGGTGCTCCTTTTACCACGACGACGGGAGGGGGGATCATCCCGCCTAGCAAACCGCCTTCTGTTGCGCCGACGCCGGGGATGGGTGTGGTAGGAGGATCGGGGTTTGGGGCCAGTCCGGACGGGAACGACTTTAGTTCGATGGGAGATTTGGACACGGCGGGGGATGCGCTGGCTAGTTATGAGAGTGGGAGCGTGGGGGTTGGAGGGGGGGAGGAGGGGGATGATTTGGTGATGGATGATGACATTGGGGGAGGGGCTTTTGGGGAGGCGTTTCAGGAGGGGTGAGCAGGGTCTTGATGGGGGGGTTAGAATAACGTTTTGTTAGGATGTGTGTACTTGTTGTTTTTGTATTGGGATGGGAATTACTACCTAGGGAAATTGAGAAATCTGGTTCTGAAAACGGAGGAGGGGTTTTTTTCCATTGAGGAGGGTTAGGCGTAGGTGGGTAGCTTTTTTTCTGTAGGGTTTTGTAAGAGGGGGATGATAATTGATATCACTTTGACCAAAAAGATATTTTGGGGTTGACGTGACTGACAGGCTCGACGATTTATGTGCCAAGTGGTGTTAAAGCTGTTGGTGTTTATGTATTCGGAACAGGTCAGACATATCATATCAAGTATTGATTTCTGCTGCTCAGGACCTTCCATCCAACGAGTTTTCATATCCCCTCGAGGCTTTCTAGGATACTATTTAACAATGCCGGTTTCTGACAAAGGGTTAGTATCAATGTATACCATCCTTCTACATAGGAGAGTACTCTTCAGCAGACGGGCACCATCCAAGAAATTAGTAGCATGGATCCATTCTACTGTTCCAATTCGACCGGCCGGTCAGCTATCAAGCACCTTGACGACTGGGTGTGGCTGAAATCTTGATCGTTCACGCACTTTCCTCTGGCTTTCACGAGCACGCTGATAGTTCCAGGACACGGCTACTTTCATGACATCAATTCAGGCGGATCACTAGCTATGCGCGGACTCACTCCCCCCCAAGGAGAGCACTCGGTTTTTTTTTTCCCCACGGCTCCGGCCAGGCCAGTCCAAGTCGTTTAAATCCGCAAACCAAGAGGGTCGGTCATCTTCCGATTTTTTTTGGGTATCATAGCCAGACTTGTGCTGTTGTCAAGTTCATTGGCGGATTTCAATTCAGTTTTTCAGAACTGTTCCTATGACTTCCACAATCACATGTAGAAATCAGGCATAATGTGCGCGCCTCCCGGAAAGAGAATAAGTTCATCGCTTGTTCATATTTTCCTGCCGGCCGTCCCAAATTGTCTCGAAAAAGCCCAAGCCCTCAAAGCAAACCACGCCAGATATGCCTAATGGAATTCGAAACCCAACCGTTTAGAACTTCTGGAAAGACTTGACGGTCTTGCCGGTGCGGGGAAGGACGCGGAGAACGTTGAACCGAACCTAGAATCCCAAATCTGTCAGTCACCGTGTAATCGTTCGGATCGATGTCGGGTGGTCGCAACGTACAGTCTTGGAGAGAGGTCTGCACTGGCCAACGGTGACCTGGTCGCCCTCCTCAACACGGAAAGCGGGAGAGACGTGGGCGGCGAGGTTCTTGTGGCGCTTCTCGTAACGGGAGTACTTGGGGATGTAGTGGAGGTACTCGCGACGGATGATGATGGTGCGGTGCATCTTGGTGGAGACGACGGTGCCGGTCAAGATACGGCCACGGATGGAAACCTGGCCGGTGAAGGGGCACTTCTTGTCTGCAGAGAGAAGCCAGTTAATTTCGGTCCCATATTCGCAATATCGCTCTCGCCCCTCCTCTCGCAGTCGCAGCAGGATTCGTCATCGTCGAAGGATTATCGTGTTTCGTTCAGTTGAATAAATCGGTGGTTGATCATGATTTCGAAGAGGAGGAGCGAGCGCGTCTTGTCTGTTCGGTGATATCACGTACCGATGTACTGGCCCTCAATGGCAGCAGTGGGGGTGCGGAAACCCAGACCAACGTCCTTGTACCATCTGCGGCCGCCCTTGCCAGGTCTGGTGGTCTTGACCTTGGTCTTGGAGTTGAGGAAGACTTTTGGAGAACATCACGGGTCAGCTTCATCGCTTCCTTATCGCCCACTTTCCAATTCGGCCGTGTTTTTTTCGACTTTGGTTGCAGGCTTATTTTCGCAGAAGAGAAACTCACTATGCGGCTGCTTCTGAAAAGCACGCTCGCTCTGGACGGTAAGCTCGGTAGCCATCTTGTTGGTTCTGGCGTGGGCCGAAGATGTGCTTTTGTCGAGGTGGGAGTGGTGGTCGGTCGGAGTTCACAAAACGAGGCCCCAGAATTTTGCTAGTTGGTGATTGATTTTTTGGGAGGGCCAAAAAGTGTGATGGGCACCAGCCACACCAGCTGTGCGCCAGATGTGGGTCAAAATGGCAAGGCGCCGCCATCACTAGCCACACCTTTAGGCAGAGTGGGACTCGACGGTTTGGGTTTATTTACTTGGGCATCAGCCTGGCCAATGGCAGCAGATGGCTAGGGTCAACAGCTACAGAGTGCCCCTCTGCGATGAGATGTCACCCCTGTGACGCGGGTTTCCAGAATTCAACCCAGAAGCCCATCTGGGTCGCGTCCCACCTCCACCACCATCTATTCACACATGAACATCAGCCTGAAGTTTTTTTCGCCAGGCACCATAATAATCTCGGTCAACCTGCGATATACCAATTCGTAGCCATGTCGTCGCAAGGCGATGCCACGTTGCCGGCAACGCGCCGGTCGCGTAAGTCAATTGGCGTCGGACCTTCAAGAGGCGACAGAGAGAATGCAACACTTGACGTTGGCAGCGCTATTGGGGCCACTCGCAAAAAGTCTAGGAGCAAGAGTTTGGGCCCGGGTAGTCTCGACATCTTGAAGAACGGGAATGGGAACCGCAGAGCAGTATGTATTGTAGTGGTAAACATCCGAGCTTGACTGACTTGTCTTCAGTCCCTTGTCATACCATCTGGACCACCACCAAGATCAATTCTGAAACCCACGATCCCCGTCCTTCCAGAAATTCCAACCTTCAAACCAAGAGAAGCTCCCCTGAGCAACGAAAGTGCCGGAACAAAGGTAGCGCTGCGAACTGAGGAGGAACAACAAGCTGCAGCCCGGGAAAGGGAGGAAAGAGAACGGGCCGAGATTGAGAAGGAGATCAAAGATAGGAGAGAGGCGCGCAGAAAGTCACTGGCCAACCGTCGGGTATCCTTTGCTGCTGAGGCGACACTACATACCTTCCAAGTAGTGGACGAGAACCAGGATGCAACAACCGCTACAGCGGCATCGCACCATCACCAAGAGCCCGATTCAGACCCTCCATCAACACCCCCAGACCACATCGACGACCATGATGCCGAGTCTCCAGCCGATCAACGAGCACTGCACCAACGAAACCAACGACGGAGTTCGGGCGTGGGGTCACTCTACGGGGACGACGATACCATCGCTTCCACCGTGTACGATTCCGACATGGAACATGCCGACGATATCGATGAGGTGGAGACGGAGGAAATGTCTGGTTCTAGTGATTCGGATGACGACGGCACCGTTATGACTGTAGAAGCCGAAGAAATGACCTCTGCTTCAGTCGCATCCATGACCTCCGGCGTGTCTGCGTTTGACAGTAACAATTCAACCGACAGCTTGGACGAGAATCTGCGGCTCGCGAAACAGCGCGCTGCTGCTACTCAACGGATTGACGAGGATGAAGAGGTTATTGCTGGGTTTGCCGGTTGGGGGAGGAAGCCACTATCTCAGACGGAGACTACCACGCAGATTATCCGCCAACATATGCCACCACCAACTCCTGACGCTCAACAACAGCGAGATCAAGGGTTCGAGATTGATATGGACATGGATGACGATATGGGTATGGATATGACCAAACCCGTGGGTGGTATTCTTCAGTCACAGCCAGGAAGGTCTCAGAGCAACAACCAGGATGAAGATGTGGAAATGGATATGGATGAGGACATGTCGATGGACGTGACTAAGGCTCTCGGTGGGATTTTTGCCAAGGCCCAAGCCCAAAATCGGCGGAAATCAGTCAAACCACTTGCGCTGCAGCAGGATGCCGATGAACTGGGTGATCAAACTATGGAATTTACCACGGCAGTTGGCGGTATCCGACAAGGCAGAATGTCTATCGGTGGCGCAACGGACATTGACGAGCTCGAAGACATGTCCATGGAGTTTACTTCTGCGATTGGTGGGCTTTTATCTAAGGGTGCCCCTAATGCAGGCTCTGCTCTAGGCCGCCGAAGAACTCTGGCAGCCGAAGATGACGGCATGGATATGGACATGACTGCAGCTGTCGGCGGCATTTTGGCTACTTCACAACCACAGGAAGAGGACGATGTGTTTGAACAGACTATGGCCATGGACGAGACCATGGCGGTAGGCGGCATCCTGAAGCCTGCCTCACCTGAAGAGGCACGGTCAGCGGCCAAGAGGGTGATGGAACTGGAGGCTGATGAGCCACATGTTGTGTATCCATCTCTCACGCCGTCAACACAGGAGACAGCATCCCAAGACAATAACGATACTCTGGGGCTTTCTGCATTCCGAGGGAAGGGTCTGCGTCACAGCATGCCTGGCGCCCCTCTTTTCGAGAGCTCTCCTGTGCGAAGTCCCGAGAAAGAGCTGCCTGCGAAGAGCCTGGCCCGTAATAGCTCACCGGTTCGGAGCTCTCCTGTCAGAAGTTCACCGGTTCGAAACACGAGGAAGTCCCCAGCAAGTGACTTCCCTGAAAGAAGGACGCCTTCACCCACGAGGAGCCCTCCGAGGAGAGAGTCTCCTGCACGAAAGACACCTTCTCCTGCGAGGAATACTGTCCCTGCTACCAAGACACCCCCCTCAATGATTGGAAGCAGTTCGCCAGTCCGTGATGCCTCACCACCAAAAACGACACCTCGCTCCGTCGGCAAGGGGAGGCTCTTCCACCAAGACCCGAGCACAGGCATCAGCACCCCCCGTGTGGTCCTCACACCCCAAGGCAGGCGCCTTTCCGGCGTCGGTGCTGACAGACCTGGCTTGGGCTCACCACGCGTGGCCGAGATCTTCGATCGTAGGGACTCCCTCCAAGACTCAGCAGCTGAATTTGTGCCTAGCGAGCCAAGCAGCGCCCGTCGCACCGTGGCTTTTGCCGACCCCCGCGCCATGGAAGCGGAAGTCGACCAGGAACTCAGAGATGAGGCAGAAAGGGAAAATAACAGGCGGATCCTGGAGCGGGAGGCGGACGGTGACCGTGAGATCACGCTCAATCTTAGAGAGATGATTCAGAACCTGAGTCCGACAAAGAAGAAGAAGAACCCGTTGGCGGGGAGGAAGAGTCTTATGCCAGGGAGCGCGAGGGGACTGCTGGGGAAGAGGCCGGCCGAGTTGGATGTGGATGATGAGGAGGAGGATTCGGAGGTGATTGATGGGGTGAAGAGGTTGAAAGGACATCAGGGGAGCCCGGTGAAGAATGTGAGGTTGGGGTCGCCGCCGACTAAGGCTGAGACTACTACCGGGAGGAAGACGAGGAGTGCTGCCAGAGGGGAGGAGGATACTGCTACGATCACCCCGGCTGTGCCTAGTTCACCTGTCAGGGTGGCGGGCACGCCGAATCATCAGGGGAGGCTTAGGTCGGTTTTTGATGATCAGGCGACGAATACTATTAACTTTTATGATCACACTGCCACGGGGGATGTGGATGCGCTGATGCGGAGGGATGATTATGCGCTTGTGCGGAGGGATGATGATGATGGGGATCGGATACATTTGCAGGATTTTTTGAACTTGACAAGTATCAGGTTTATGGAGTTGACTACCACCAAGAGGAGGCATACTGTTGCGCCGGGGGAGACGAGGTTGAGCTTGACGGCGGACGGGAAGGAGGATTTGTCTTTGGAGAAGTGTGTCGTTGCGGGTGCATGTACGGTGCCTACTTTGGAGCTGTATCAGCACTCGTGTCGGGAGCTGAAGAAATATATCAGTGAAGGGCGGAGGATTGTGAGGGAGATTGAGTCGGAGACTTTTGAGGAGAACCCACCGCTGTTCAGGGAGTACATGACTGCTACTCCTGAGTTCAAAGTGTTGATGGACAATCAGTTCAAGAACGTCAAGACGCATGCTAGGCTGCTGAGCAAGGCGATGTGGTATGAATGGCGGATGAAGCTGCAGGATGGGCTGAAGGAGGGTCTGGTCAAGATTGCGGAGGGGATGGATGATGATGAGAAGCTTTTGGCCAGGCAGCAGGAGTTGCTTTCTTCGGTGCTGCCTGATATGATCAAGCGGGCTGAGGAGCTGGAAAAGGAGCATGAGAACCTTGAGACTGTGGCTCAAGAAATGGCCGATTGTGACCCTGCCGAGCTGGAGGAGGCCCGTGCTGAGTTGATCTCCCTTGATGAGGGCCTCGAGGAGAAACAGCGCAAGATTGCCGAGCTGAAAGCCCAGCTTGAGGACTCCAACTCTGGCATTGAAGCCCTGACAGCACAGAAACAGCAGTGCCTGGGTGATATTAGAGAAGCAGACAAAATCCGGGAGGAATGCCGGGGCTGGTCATCAGAAGAAATCAGCAAACTCAAAGGTATTTCCCCCTTGCCATTGCCTCCAGTCATATCATACTAACACCACTCAGCACGAACCGACAAAATCGAAAAAACGACCGGCTGGGCCCTCGCCAACATATCCGGCACCAAAATCTCCCTGACGTACAAGCGCCAAATCGAACTCGTCCTCGACATTGCCTCTTTTCCCCAACCCAACCACCGGCGTGGTCCGCAGAGTAATATCGACCTGTGGTATATAGCCGACAAGCGCGAACCCAATACCACCCCCCTCACCCCCGAGCGAGAGTTTTTCTTGCAGTCTATTCGGGATCGCATCCGCTCCCTACCTCAACCCACCACCAACGTCAAGACGATTCTTCAAATTGTAAAAGATGGCTGGGACAAGTCTTGCACAGTGGCGAACTATGTCAGGTTGCTCAACCTGACGTTTCCCACGACGGTCGTGAATGATGATGGGTCGATAGCGGTGGTGAGTTCGTTGGTTTTAGTGCCGTTGCAGACGAGGGTGGAGGCGGTGATCAGGCTGAGGGTTGAGGATGGGGGGCAGGGGGGGGAGGGGTTGGAAGTCAAGGTGGTGCCAGAGGCGAGGATGGTGTACGGGGAGCAGTTTAATACTGCCAAGTTGGAGGAGTTTTTGAGGGGGAAGATTGGTGGGTGTGTACAGACTGTGGGAGGAGGGGGGGAGAATAAGGGGTGGGATGTGGGGATGTTGGAGTTGTATAAGAGGTTGTTGGCTAGGGGGTCGAGGGCTGCAGCGGCAGTGGCTGCTGGGGCTGGGGCTGGGGAGAAATAAAGATGTTGGGATATCAAGGGCTGGGTTTCATGGGATGGTGGGATTGGATGGGTTGGGCTGGATGGGAAAGGTCTTTATATACCCCTTAGGACTCGTTTTTGCTCTTTTGGGCTTTGGGTACTGGTATGATGGGGGATCGCAAAGTTAGATACATACTGAGGGAATACCAAGTGTCTTTCTTCTATATGTTTTCGGTTCGTGTCAGTGATGTATGGGATGAAGACGACCTCCTCTTGGTTTACGTTATGGGTATTGTTCAGATCTTAACGAAGTTTATTTATCATCATTACAAGAGGTAGTTGAAGAAAGCGGGTTAAGAGTTACTTGCGAGCAATCCGCGATTTCTCAAGCAGACGAGGGCTAAAGGATGAATCCGAATCTCGCGTTCTTCAACCTGTCCAAGGCCATCAAGACGACAACCGCTCCGTCCAAGTTCACCGCCAGCTCCCACGCATTCTCACACACTCTTGTATTTTTTCACTTTGGAGGCAACCAAGGCATAAATTGAGACTGTTCATGTTACCTCACATATAGTCACACATCACAATTCGCCATCACATAACATGCAAGCTATTCACAAGGTTGGTGGGCCAAGGTATTTTTTGATCACTACCACTTGAGGTTCTTGCCTCCCCGTCCACCATCTTTTTTTGATGCGTGAACTTTCCAAAATATCCTCCCACCAACTCCAAAACTCCAGGCCATGCCCTTTCCTATTCCCACAGTAAAACCTCAAACTCCATTGCTCAATGACGACCCTCTCCCTTGACCCATTCCCTTGACCATTTCCCTTTCCATTCCCTTGACCATTCCCCTTTCCACCACTTGAACCATGGCCATCTCCCATCCCCAACACCTCCCCTCCCCAACACCTCCCCTCCCCAACACCTCCCCTCCCCAACACCTTGCCTCCTAATCACCTCTCGTCATGTCTCCTCATCGCCTCTCCCCTTCATCGCTCCTCTCTTCTCAACACTTCTCCTCGTCACCTTTTCTCTTCATCACCTCAACGCCTCCAACACCGCTGCTTCTCGTATTCCTTTTGGCTTTCTCCACCAATTCTCGTATCATTTTTGACATTCCACTTCTCCTCGTATTCCTTCATGTCCAACACCTCTTCCCCGTATTCTTCGTTGTTTTTCTGTTTTCTGAGAACAGTCGTTAGCAGCTATCCGGACAAGTGAAGAATAATAATGTGGTGTGTGAACGATGATTGTCAGAGAGAAGATTATGATTCGACATGTTCCAACTCAAGAGAAGTGACTCAAGCTCTATGGGGAACAGGGCCACCACCCCGGCCAGATTTCCGGCTAAGGATGACGATACGATTGATCTCATCATGAAAGTGTGAGAGAATGGGAAGGAAATGGTGCAACTTACATTTTCATTGTCGTTGTTTGGCGTGTCGAGCGACTGGCTGACTTGGTGAAGAGTGAGAGACTGGATGGCTGTGTCTCAATCGTCGTATGAGATCTGACGACGCTGTGCTGTGCTGGCTTGTGCTGGCTGCTGGGTTTCTTCTTCACCGTAGTCGAGGCTGGCAAGGCCCTTGTCTACCACGTCCCATGTTCGCTTGCGCAGATCCATCGGCGGCTCTCCGACATTCTTGTTCTTGTTGTTGCGCTTCCGCTTCTTGTTCTTTTTTGCGGTGACGACTGGCGCCGGCGATGATATCTCGCCTTCGGAGAGGTCTTCGGCCAGTGTGGCGGTGACCCCTTGCGGCTTGGGAGGCTGTCTGCCGCGACGCAGAGCCTCGAGCTCCGAGTGTCTAAAGATGGCGATTTGCTCGTCGGTCAGGGTGCGCTTGACGCCGTCGGGATAGTAGCCGAGTCCATCGTCCTCTTCTTCCTCGTAATAGTATTCTTCTTCTTGTTCATGGGATGGGATGGGTTCCTGGTCATCGAGGGAAGGTCGGAGGAATTGGGAGTGGAAGTGATCTGTCGCGAATTGAGCGAAATGTTGTTCGTGGAAGGCAAACATATCAGCCTAGGATAGTGTTAGCGACTGAATTGCACCACGGGAGAAACAGACAACAAAGACATACCTGACTGATTGTCGGGACCTGGATTGACGTGCCCGCCATTTTGGCGTGAGCAGAATGAGCAGCGTTGAGAATGGGTGGATTGGCTGCCAAGAGAGTGAATTTGGCCGGTCGCGCGCGTGATCACGTGCGCTGCGCCCGACCCAATCTTGGGCAGTCGAAGTAATGGTGGATGCTGGCAAGGCGGGTTTTCGAGATGTTTTTGATGAAAATCGAATAAAATGCACTGGCCAGAAAGTGCTGGTGATTCTTGTTGGCTGCTGGTGGATGAGGGGAGCAAGAAGGACTTGTTGGAGCAACTTGATTGGAATTGCTCAAGAATCATGTATTACCAGAGCCCCATCCTCACAGCTAGAAACCACCCAACCCAACCGAAACGCCTGTCCTCAATGTCATGTGATGCTGCTTGCTGCCCGAAAGAAGAGACATGTTCGTGTCGTCATCAAATCATCCGCTTTGCTAGTGTTTGCTGGATGACCGGTCTAGTTCTGACTCAGGAGCGCCAGGGCACTTTGAAATGCGCGCACCACCTCGGTGACTGTGGAAACGTGTTAGTGAAAAGTCCAAAGACCATCTCATTCCAGCCAAACCTACGGTGCTTCTTCTTCTGCGCCAAATTCTGCTCAGCAATCTTCACATATCGCTCTCTTGTTTGAAGTCGCTTGACTCCCCGTTCGGTATCATGGACGGAAGCTGATGATGCCCAGACATTGAAGAACTGCAGGGGACGTTAGTTATTCATGGTCATCAAATGAAAGGATGAGACGAGTAAACGTTCTTTGATCAGGTTCTCAAACTCAGCCAACAACTCTTGCTCCTCCCCGTTCGCTTTGGCAAGAGCCTCCTGATAGCGAGCCTCAAATTCTTCCCAGTCAAAAGGCGCCAGGTGTCCAGGTGTGCTGGGCGATCTTTCAGCGATGTTCCCGTTGGAACGCTCCTTGAGAATGCGCGGTTCTGGTGTCTTGACCTGGGCGACTCTGGTGGTGCCTGGCGGCTTGGGGATACTGCTCTGAGTATCTGCCATCCTCTTGTAGGCCACAGACTTCAGAGGACTATGAGGTAGGATGTCTGATTCTGCCTGCTCCGAGTGTAGAGAAGGAGATGGAAGGGGCGATTCGGCTTTCTTGGCTGGTGATTCGTGGCGGGGCGGCTTTGGGGGTGAGGCGGTTGGAGTTGTCGCGCTTGCCATGTCGAGTGAGAAAGTTCTTTGTTTTTGAGTATGATAAGCCGCTGAGGAAGGCACCCCTCTGAGATGAGCTCGATAGGAATAGAAGGAGATGGAAGCAGGAGAGTGAGGTGCTCGCTCTTTCCAACTGAGGACACACAGAATGAATGAAAGGCAGAAGAAGAGCGGGACTGCCGCTTGCCTTTCAGATGATGGTGATGCTCATTCGCGAATCAGGAGGCGAGCGCAAAGCTGAAAGTTCTAACCCCGCTTCTCCCTATGAAATCTGGATGCCCAAGATCAATCCCGTATCCCAATGTGCCCGACACTGGCTAATTATTGGTGTGCCTGTCCCTCTGCAGCAGATGGACGCTTGGTGAGTTGTCTGTGAGAGATCAAGGTGAAAGCGCGTCGCGAATGAGAAGCAGCCAGAGAGACAGGGATCTTGATTGGCGGGGGAGTGGGGCAGGTGCCTGGTGGCAGCGTGCGATAACGATGACGCGGGACCGATAAGCTGGGAGGCGCACTTGTGACTTGGACTTTGTACCACCAGAACACCGATCTCGAGGACATCAAGCTTCTTTTTCAGCCTTCTTTTTCTCTGCTGTGACTGTGAGACTCTGGAATCTGTGCAGGTGACCTCAGCAAGCTTCGAGTCAGCCGAGCTTGTTTGCATCCTTCATCTTCTTCTAGAAACTCCAAGCTGCTGAAGACAATGGAACCTTCTTCGATTCCCTGAAAGCACGTCTTGTACTTTGGCGGGCCACCAAAAGGACCTCGAGCGCCGAACAAGTGAATTCATAAACAGAAGACCCTCGCTCGCCTTTGATTGTTTGACCGAGACCTCACAACTCTTCTGTCTTGCAACCCGCAAAAATGGAAGCCAAAATAAACTGCGACATTTGCCACCGCGGCCACCATAGCAAGGACCGGCCGTTCCTTTGTGTCGTGGATGCGAGGAACCGTCTCTATGAGACCCGTCTCGAGTACACCAAGGCGCTTATTGAGACAGACCAGCTCGAGCGCGAGGTGAATGCCGCCATTTCCAGCGAGACGGGACAGATCCCCAACAAAGCTGTCCGGCTGGAGACGCTCAAGTCGGATACGGCAGCTGCAGTCGAGCGAACGAACGAGATCATCGCGCAGGCCGACAAGTTGAGAAGCGAGGTTGATGCTGCGCGAAAGGCGATCGAGGATAAGAAGAAGCTGCTCGCCCAACGGAGATCTGATCTTGAGGCTGTGTCGACTGGTGCCGAAGCCAGGAGAAGCAGGCAGCTGGAAGAGACGCAACGAGCCATCCACAGAACCAGGTACAAATGGAATCGCAGTGCCGACACGATGGCGGCGACGAGAGCCTTCTTGTGTGAGGAAGCTGCCAGGCTGTATGGGCTGCGCCAGGTCAAGAAGGGCAGCACCAAGCGGTTCGAAATTGGCGGTATCGAAATCTTTGACCTCCATGCCATGAATAGTAAGTGTGCTGAGAGGCTGACGAGCTGGCAAAACATGTCCAAGGCTGACTGATGATGGTAGATTTGTCGCCCGAAGTGATATCGACTGTCTTTGCCCATGTGGCGCACATTCTCGTGTTGGCCTCGCATTATCTGGCGATCCGGCTGCCGGCGGAAATCACACTCCCTCATCGTGACTACCCTCGCCCGACAATATTCTCGGTGAACTCTTCCTACCACCATGGGGATGTACCATTCCCCGGAACAGCCATGTCAGGACAATCTGGAAATCCACGGCCCCGTCCGCTCTTCATCGAAAAGGCGCTCCTGACACTGGCAAAGGACGATCCAAACACGTACTCTGCGTTCCTTGAGGGCGTTGGTTTGCTGGCGCATGATGTTGCTTGGCTGTGTGCATCGCAAGGAGTGTCTTTCGGGGACAGGGAATCGTACGACGATGTTTGCAACATCGGACACAACCTGTGGCGGCTGCTCATTGGTGATCAACTCCACCGCCGGTCTCTCGAACCAACCTTCCCATCTTCGCTCACACCACCAGCCGGGAGTCCAAGGGATGGGGACAGTGGCGATGTGACAAAACCGAAGTCAATGATTGGTCGCTGGTCGCATGGGACGGCTCACACCTCGCTGACGAGTGCCGAAGGCGTGGAAGTCGTCCGAAACTTCAAGATCCACGCGCCGCTGAAGTTGGCTGATCGTCTGAAGAAGCGACTGGCGAGCGAAGCTCCGATGCTGGAATGGGAAAATATCGAGGGCGACGAGTTCGAAGATGGGTTTGAGGACGTGCGAGCTGCTGGTACAAGCGATGGTACAAGTGGTGGTACAAGTCGGGGAACAAGCGGCTGGACCAGAGTCAAGCATCGGTAGATAGTCCCAAGTACTCTTCCATGACAGAGGAGAACACACAGAGGCTGGGGTGATGACGACAGCTGCGGCAGGCAATAAAAAACCATACCATATCTTGAGCCCACCTGCCCTACCCTACTCCATGAAGAAGTATCTCAAGAAAGAAATAGCCAGCCAACGTCCCAGCATGTGTGTCTCATATCATCTCACCATCCTTCTCTCGTCCTTTTTTTTCGGTTTTCTTTTTTCAATCGGGCTCCTCGTGGACACCCGGAATCCGCCTCTTGAAAGACAAGATCCGGCGGCCCTCGGTGACGCGGACGGGGATGTCGGGAAGCTCCACATATTCGATCTCCTGGTGACCAAAATCTCCTATGTCTCGCTTTCGACGCCGCCCGGTACCGGGAGCCATGTTCCCGTGCCCTTCCTCCTCCTCCGCAACAGCTGCCTTGAGCTCGGCTTCCTCGCCCTGGTGAGCCTCCACCTCACTGGACTTCAGCTTCAGCTTTCCGGCCGGCTGTCCCTCCTTCACCTCGGCGCTGCCACTGGACCCTTCAGCGACAGGCTCTCGTTCCTCGGAAATTGGTGTTGTTAACCCCTCAGATGGGAAGTTGGGGGTGGTGGTGGTAGATGGGATGGGAAACGAGGGAGGGGAATCATCCTCGTCCTCGTCCGACTCGTCCGAAGACGCGAAATTCGACGTGCCAGCACGCCTCATTGCTTCGATTCGGTCCCTCACCTCCTGGAGTGTCTTCTTCTGCGGGGGCGCAGAAGAGGACTCACCAGCCGCGCGAACCTGCTCGGCAACAGCCTGTCGAACCGCAACGCTGCCCCGCAAACGGGGAACGAGCATCGGTCGACGGGCGACGCGCTGCCGGACAGACTCTTCATCAGAAGAGGAGCTGTCGGGTTCGGCGGACACCACATCTTGTCTGTCGTCTGCGCGAACTTCAACAGAAGTCGAGCCGTTGGAGCGGGGCTCCCGACGGCGGCGTTCGACTTCTTGACGCAGCACTGGGGCGACGGGAACTGGGACGTAGTCGTCGACGTGGTCGTCTTCATCCGGGGAATCAAACGCCACGTCGGACCAGTACTCCGCGAAGGAGTAGCTGATCCCCTGCTCCGGGAGGGGTGTCACCACCGGTGCTGCGGTTGCTGTTGTTGGCGCAGACGCACCCACTTCTTCTTCTTCTTCTTCTTCTTCTTCTTCTTCTTGGGGGCTCGCCACTACCTCCTCGCCTTGCGGTGACGGAGCAGCTTGGATGGGGGCCGCGGCGCAAGCAGCGGTTGGGGACACATCGTCAGCTGGGACGTCGTCGGTCGCTTGGTCTGTCGGCAGTGCGAATAGGGCAGGGTCGATAAGAGAGTCCGGACCCGACCATGCGCCCGGGGTCTCTCTCTCGGCGAACTGCTCGACCTCTCTTACCAGTTCTTCAAACTGGGCTTGCGACATTGACCAGTTCAGATACTCGTCCAAAATTAAAGTCAGGTCAGATTCGGACAGGAGCTGGGACTGGTTGTCTGGGCCGAAATCGATCTGAGCGAGCTGCTGGCCAACCTGATGATAGTATTGATCATCAGGCTGGGACGGATCCAGCGCCGATTGCTGCAGACCGAAGTTGTTTGGAAGAGGCTGCTGGCAAGAAGAGGCCTCGACATCATGGTGGTAGTCCATTGGTTCTGGGTGAAACTGCTGCTGCTGCTGCTGCTGCTCACCAGAACCAACGTAGTTCACACCCTCATACGCGTTGAAGTCGAACGGTTGGGGTGCGGGCTCAACCATCCGCACGTCAGCTTCGTGAAACCTCATATCACCTTCTTGAGAAGGGAGGGAAGGGTAACCCCCCACTGGCGGCATCAGAGTATTGCCGAATACACCCTGGTCGATCATCTCGACGTTTTCGAAATCCTGTTGCTGAGGATATGCCATATTGACATCATCCTGAACGGCACCGAAAGCAAAAGGGGTGCCGGACATTGACATGGAGCCAAACATCGCGGCAGGGGGACCCTCTACTCCGGCGTCGGGGATGACCATGGCGGTATCCTCACCCTCATCATCGACACCTGCCTCCTCCATCCGTGAATCCTCTTCCTTCACCTCCTCGTCCACCTTCACTGAGTTGGGTCGCGCGAGCGAGCCCTCGTCAAGCTCCATCCCTGGCAGAGCGTCGCAGACTTCGGTCCCCGTCATGACGGCTTCCTCAGTCTGGACGATGCCGACTTCAGGAGACGTGATGGCGGCGGGTGTGGTGATGGCGTCGGCGGTGGTTGCCGTGAAATCACCAATGATGTCGGTCGTTGCGGTGGTTGTCGCGGTGACCAGTGGGACTGCAACTGCTTGCGCAACGGAAGTCGAAATATGAGAAGCCTCCAAGAGGCTTGTGATGTCGGCATCGTTCTCAGTCTGTGCCTCCACACTAA